TTTTTATAAAATCTATATTTTAAAATATCCGTATGTACTTCTGTAGTACATATTATATAGTTTTTAAAAAATTTTGGTTTATTGCTCCAGGTTCAATCGAATGACAGATCCCCCCGCAACGCCGATTTGACAGTGGCTACAAAAACGACGTTTAATAAAATGGCTTCAGCGTCGTCATTTTACTAAAAAAATAAATGAAAAAAATATTTTTTACTTCTAAAGACATGTATTATTAAAGCCTTAAAACGAATTTTGTATTACTTTTATTGTTTTCCTAAAAAAAATTCCCAAAGTTACCTATGATTTTTAGGCGCTCAAGGTGGTGTAACCCCTTAACTTAAATTCACATGCATTTCTTTCCCAAACATAAAGAATATTGTTGTAATAACCGTGGCAATTTTTTCTGTGCAATATAATAAGAATCTAAAAAATATTTTTTTTTTAACGATATATCATTTGTTTGGAAAACGCGTACAATTTATTGCTTATATTACTTTAGACAGAAGATTATTTATTTGACAAAAATTAAAGTTGTATTTTTGCGGAGTATTTCATCAGATATTTTCACAAAATGGATTCTATAGTTTGCCAAATAATTATAAAGTAATGAGGAGATATATATGTGTGTGATTAAATAAAATAAGCAAAGTCCCTTCTTGGCATATAAATTGAACGTAACAAAATTTCTTCTTTTACGTAAATATTCTTATAAATGACACTTAAACAATTTTACTGCGCTACCGCGCTATTTTAACACATATATAGGTACCGCCTTTTTTTAACTAAAAGCAATCTTCTAGAAGCATAGAATTTACAGTTTTTTTGTGTGTCAAGTATTTTTTAAGGCATCTATTTTATTAATAAAATAATTTCTGATAAAATAATTTCACAGATGAATAAAAAAGAAATTATATTTGTTCCCAACAAAGCATATACATGTAATCTAAAACAAATCACGAATTTTTTTGGTAAAAATTGATAATTACAAAAAAGCTGCACGAATAGAAATTAAGAAATTCTTACATAATTCTTTACATAACAATTCAGTGTCGCTGATATTGCAAAAAAAACTGGAAAATTTTGCGGAACGACAGGAGCTTTCTGCAAGAATTTTATTGAACGTCGCTACAGAAGAGAAACTGGCTCTAAAATTTTCATCTTTATATACAATCTTCGTACAGAGCGTACGAAAAATGCGTATCCCCGTTGAAATTTCATTCTTCTCGAAACTTACGGTCCACTTTTGCTCGGTATTTCGCAAGAAGACTTTCCACGGAAAGATTATCGAATTAGTAGCGACTGAAAAAAAAAGTACAACGGCTAAAAACCATATTTATAGAACTCTTGGTGCGGCATAATTTCCTCGTTACAGCTTCATTATACGGCTTATTCGCATTATATTTCCGTCGTGCGTACTTTACAATACAGTCAGTCAGTTGGTTGGACCGGTCAGTCAGCCTGCGGCACGAAAATTCCGCAATGCCAAGGGGAAGTTTCGCGTGCGGCCGGACGATAATGCGCATCGCTCCAGGACGATGATTTAACGCTTTAACAGCGGATTGTTGCGACCACGAAGACCGCAAAGGGTTACGAGCGGTCGGCCGAGCGCCGCATCCCTTCGAGCGCGCACGCCGCGCCTGTCCAGCTTCGACGTCGTCGTCGTCGTTGCTAATTATTTATGTTGCCCGATCTTCGCACTCCTCCCTGTCTGACGTTAATTGAATTCGCATTCGCTCGTGGGAGGGATGGGGTGACTGTCCCCGGTAATTTCGCCAATGCCACTGCAGCTGCCGCACCGGCTGAGTGGAAAGTCGATGAATGCTTATTTGACCATTCCGATTTTGTCATCCTATTTTAATGGATGTTTACTGCAATTTCACGGTTTATTCTGAAAAAAATATAATACCTAATAAGTGTTATATTTGAAAAAACATTCATTAAGTATATATTTTAGTTCCCACATAACATACTAACTTTGACGCTTTGATAAAATGAATATCTGAAATTTAATTTGCAAATTTGTAAATTACTTTCTATAAAGACTACATTGCTAGTCATAAATTTAAAATTGTAATATTTTTTAAACTTGAGAAGAAAAAATCAAGCTTATCTAGATAAAAAATTTCTCTGTTTGCGTAATCCGTCTCTCTCTCTCTCTCTCTCTCTCTCTCTCTCTCTCATTCACTCACTCACTCACTCACTCACTCACTTACTGTAATATTTTTATTGCAGATAAATCTACGCCTCATCCTCGTCAGTGGCAAGACAAAAGAGTTCCTATTCAGTCCAAGCGATTCCGCAGGCGATATAGCGCACCATGTGTTTGAAAATTGGCCGGAAGGTGAGTTAGTCATTACTGTTTCGAAACTCGCCGCTTGCACCAATCCATTCCATTAGCGTTACTATAATTACTATAGCAGCGGGATCTAGTATATGATGCCACTTGCAATTATTATCATTAATTACCGAAGCATCATCACGTTATGATAATAAAGTTGCAAAATCATCGTATAAAATATTTGTATATTCAAGAATCTGTTGGGATCTCTGCTGTCGCTAAAAGTTTTTAAAAAAGAGATTAAACAATTTCAGGAAAAAAATGAGAAATTATGTAAGTAATTAACTTTTCGATGCCGTTGCGATACACTTGACGTATGGTACACCTGACGTTTTCTTTTACTTTATATGCTATAATTTTTTATTAATAAAGATACAGACATTTCACTGAAAAAAGTAATCTTGCAATTATAGCGAGAATTATTTAGGTACGAAAAATTAGCTAAAACGAATAAGTGATTAATAAGCAGTGCGATACCACATATGTTTTATATTTAATCAATATAGATAATAGAGACAGAAATTATATCTGAACTATTTGTCAAATTTAGCAAGAAAGTTCCTCTATGACTTTAATCAGTTCAGACTCCAATCCAGGCTCCAATCATATTTGGTTATGAGATCTATATTTTCTTGTATACAGGGTGTCTCGTACTCAATGGTACAGCGCTTGTGGGCAGGTAGTGTGGACCAAACTGAACAAAAAAGTCCTCTACCATTTTGCGATTTTCGCAATAGTTATAGAATATTGCTGCTATAAATTCTATGTATGACAATTTTTTAGCAGATACAAAAAACAGAGAATGTAATTTAAGTGTAATATTTAGAATTCTAGTTAGAACAGCGAAACATTTCCCTGAGTGATTGGTTATTTTATTGTATATTCTTATCATATTATCATATAATATTCATTAATGGTATTTTGGTTGAAATAAATTTGTTATAACATATTTATTTCTGTGCGATATTGTTACATAATACCTAATGTGTTACTACCATAATTAAACGTATACTGTGGCACCCCAAAAAATTAACTGTGCGTAAAATTAGAAATTTTAATATATAAATTAACAAAAAGTTAGGAAATTTTAAAAATAAATTTTTACTTAATTAAGTAGAAAATATTTATATGTATGATATGTGTAGAATCTTTATGTAATTTTTATATAAAAATATTTTATCGTTTTTATTACAATGAGAAAGATATGAGAAAGATTTAAAAATTACTTTAGATGCAAAATGTAAACATTTTCTTTTTTTATATATAATAAATCATTACAAAGAAATAAAGTTAAAATATCATAGAAATATAAAATTATGTGAGAAATAAAAACAATAATTAGAAGATTTTACACTTAATTTTTAGGATTGGAGGGGGGGATTCGTATTCTTCTCGTTTTGTATTGTTTATCACTGCAAATACTTTCGTACTTTTTTTTTATATATAATAATAAATCGATACAAAGAAATAAAGTTAAAATATTATAGAAATATAAAATTATTGGCAAATAAATAACTAGAAAACAATAACTAGAAAATTTTACACCCAATCTTTAGGATGAAGGGTTCGTATTCTTCTCATTTCGTTTTTTTTTCCACTGCAAATACTTTTGTACGGACCTACACTTTTTAAGGTTCGAGGAGCTTTGGCACTTTCGGAAACTTTTCGCGAACTGCTGGATCTAGGTGGAGAACTCTCAGCATCCCGCAAATGTTATCTTCGTGTTGCAGACTGGGCAGAGGAGGCGGTCGCCAAGGCGGAGATCTTGCGGCTAATCTACCAGGGTCGTTTCCTGCACAGCAATGTCACGCTCGGTGCTCTTGGGCTTCCCTTCGGAAAAACCACGGTGATGCATCTGGTACCGCGGGAGAATCTTCCGGAGCCTAATTCTCAAGGTGAATTCGCGAGATGCCATGTTATCTCCTCCTCCGGTGGAGGTCGTTACGAAACTTCTTGTATGCTTTTCCTCCCCGCTTCCCCGAACGACCTCATCGTACAAAATCAGACACGCGCAAAATTTTTCTTTTTCAACTTTGCTTGAGATAAACTTCATCATAGAATTATAATTAAAACATCCTCATAGACCATAAAATTAAACCGCGATACATATCTACCTTTTATTAAGTTACATTAACGCTTATTCATGTAATATCCTATATTGTAACATACATGTATTAACCTTTATTATCATCAAAATATTTAATTAAAAAACTGAAAATTTTTAATACTAACAATTAATTAAATCGAGATTATTGATTCCAATTATTGATTTTTGAAATTAATAGAAAGATTTAATACACTATTTTTCAAAGAAAATTTCAAAATGAAAATTCTTTTTTGTTTTTTTTTATTATATATATATTTTTATATGTATATTTATTGCAATTTTTGTTTATATTTTTATGTGTACATAATACTTTTAAATATCGTAGTATCCTTGGAGGGAAATAAATTACCCGGATAAGGGGTTAATTCCCTGCAACCCATATAAAAACACGTAGTGCACACTCTACCGCACTTTTATTAATATCCAGTTAAATCTTTACTCGTTATCGTTCTTTAAATTTGTTTACTCGCCGTTCTAAACTAAATCTATCGTATCGGTACGTGACGCGCTTGCGTAATTATTACGGTAAAATCTCGTTACAACGAGCTGCCACCGTGGATCTCCAAATTGAATTTATTACACCAAAAGTTCGTTACATCAAGCCGCGTATTAGATGCGGAGATTCAATCACATTTCGTTACAGCGAAAATATATCATATTCCATCGATGTTCATTATAACGGAATTATGTGGATTAGCTTTATTTAGCCATTAATTGATAGCGATTTATCATGGAACGATCAAGAATGCGGGATTATATTTAAAATATATATATTTTTCGGCAAAATGTATCCTTAGAAAAAATATTGAGGAACATGCCGAGAGAGTTGTCATAACTTCTTATGTTTTAATATCAAGACAATATTGAAAGTAGAACTATTAAAACAAAAGTACTATTAATATGAATATAAAAATGAAAAATATAATAAAATGTTAAAATATAAATATATAATATTATATCATTTGTATAAATATCATATTTATATATAAAAATAACGTAAATATTAACGTAAATTTTATTACATTTTTATAATTAATGTTATTAAATATTTTATATTACGTAAATAGGGAAGACCGGGGCTGGTTGATACATTAAAAATTGCTGCAAAATGACAAACGGTAATATTATATAAAAAATATAGTATTTCCGCAAAAACATTGCAGTTATGCTGCAATAAGATATTTTGGACTGAATAGCATATTTTCAGAAAAAAAAATAATTTCAGTTTTTGATAGCCAAAAATAAAATAAATCAGATATATTAAATGTTATATTTAATATAATTAAATGTTATATTTAAATCTGCTTATTATATTATAGTTTCAACTATATTTTTAAAATCTTTAATTTATAAGTAATAACTTATAGTTATATTAACGTCTTAAAATATATTTATTGCTTAAGCAACAAAGATCGGAAGAGCACACGT